TATCTGAATTCCACTAAGTAACAGTCCTGTTACTGAAATTGCCCCATACCACCCACTGGTTTGGGCCGTAAACTGTTCATCTCTAAAATATTTTTCTTGTAGAGATTTTTTCTTCTGAGAAGCTAAACTATAGTAGCCATCATAAGCGACACGAACAGTGAACTTGAACAACCAGTCAGGATTGAGATACAGCTAGATTCGCGAAGTTGTTCAAAATATGTCTACTAAAAAGCACTATGAGTATGACATTTTACACTGGACAACTGTCTCTTACGTGTCGTAAGGAAGTTTTACACTTTCTCATAGAATGGTATTTAGAGAAATCAAAGCATACTCAACATATATACTCACATAGATGACTAGATAGTAGTATTCTGAAATCTGTCTATAATTCTGATTCTATTATTTAGTCTGCCCCAAAGTTGGGCGATGGAATTAGTGCGAGTACTTGTAATGTGGTACACGAAGTCTGAAGAATGGTTAACACGATGGTGTATATAATTCAAAGATGACAGTCAGTTATATCTGGCCCATTCGTTCCTATGGAAAGTTGATCTTGGTCCTACTAGTCGCTGTGCATTAGGTAACAGTAATGTGTAACTTCCAAAAAGCCTTTATGCAACTAAGTGTCATATATCCCAAGAATCCACAATTGATTTAGTCTCCAGGTTCCTGTACTATATTTTACCAGCACAATGTCATCGACGTAAAAAACAACTGCTTCTCTGAGACAACCAGTTATCCTCCTCCGATTCCATTATGCCATTGCTAATACTATTGCATTGTTGAGACTGGTGTTGCCTGTTTCTGCTGCCTCTGCTCTTACTGGTCTCAACGAAACCCAGTAGTACAAAAGCAGCACAATAGCAGATAGAAATAGGTTTGATTTACACAGAAAAAGTACCAAGAGAATAAGCAAAGTACAGTACATATCCTTACGAAATGACTTTCTTCCTTAGCATGTATTACATCTACAACAATATGTGTCGATGGCAAGGTTATGCATCTTATTAAATCAAACTAGTCTATTGATCTATTCCTAGAACTCTTTCAGTAAACTGGAACAATTAGCATAATTTGATTTGAATAAACCACTCGTAACACTCCTTCATTCTGATTGGTTGTTCAAGGTCAAATTTTACTGGCCTTGTGAAGTGGTTGCCATAGTTTAGCTTCAACGAAAAAAACCTTACTCCCAAAAGATATTAGTGGCGAAATTAAACTATGACAGCCAAAATCAAGATCTGCCAAAAGTTGAGTTTCGGGACCAATCAGATTTAGGGAACTCTACGGCAGGTCATTCAAAATTAAATCATGCCTGACGTTATGGATTTGGTGAGAGTAGGTACAGAATTCTACTCATCCCATGGGTGTACACTGGTAGGCAGAGTTAGGTTTTGGAGGCTGAGGTTAGGGTTACTGCTAGATTAAAAATCACAATCAGGAATATCAACGAATCCCGAAGTACCATTATCCACAGTCATCTGAATAAATACAACCTTCGTGAATGCTATGATTTTACCATGGATTATCTCTGAGGCAACAGGAGAACATTCTCAAAAGTCGTAAGAGACAATTAATTATCCAGTATAATGTCATGTTTGTAATGTTTTTTAATCCATTTTTTAACAATCACGCAACTTCTTTCTTGCACCTGAGTTCTGATTGGTCGTTCAAGGTCACTGTGGTTCCGGCTATGATGATTTAACTTCACCATGTTAATGGTAATACCTTGATTGATTATTGTCAGTTTTAAGTCAGTGATGATGATGATTTCTGGGTTCTTTACTAAAGGGGATAAGCAACTAAACAGAAGACCAGCTACGGATCACTCACCAGCCACTCACCCACCGCCCACCTAAGCCCATGAAAACAAGACAGAAGGTAGACTGTTCCCTGCCAGTGAGGATAATTCGATTTTATTATACAAATATTGTGTACCTAAGCTGACAAATAACCAATTATATTAGTTGTCCAATCGTATTATAGTAAACATCCCGATTTGGTCCAATGATTGAATTTGTCCACTTTAGTTTAATCCTGTCTAAATTTATTTCAGTTCGTTTTTGATACTTCCTATCAGTTAGATTATATGTTTACATGGACACTTGTGCATAGTGTAGAGATAATATGGCTCTTTAAGGTGAAGTCACTGACAAAGTTATAAGTCTACTGAGCACCTTGAACAAAATATTCCAGAATGTTTTATTAATGGTCTGCAACAATTTTTGTTTTAATGAAAGCTAGTGAGTAATGTTAAGTGACATAGGATCGAGCTGGAGAAAGAATTAGAAGTAGTTAGACTAAAGCATAAGTCCACGAAGTCTTTGGTAGGCGGTTTAAGTCACAAAGAAAGGTGTAGACTGTCTGATTGTTGGCGATGCTAAGAATCAATAATTGTAGAATGTTATAGTAATGGCTCAAAATCGTCCTCAATGGAGCAAATATATTCACTACTTGTAATGGTTCACAAGTATTTTCGTTTATTGTATTTTCATCTCATTTCTTTCCTCTACCTCTTTGTATGCTTCTATGAATTGTTGAAACTTGAACTGATGCAGATTTATGCAAAGCTATACTCTTATGATTCAGTCGCTGAAATGTAGAAGATGGTATTTTTAAAAAATTCATTTGAGTTCCCAGTGGGACATAGGACTTCAAGCTAGAGTTTTGAGTTTTCTGTGGCAGTGGTGTTTATTTTTACGGGATGGGGTTGCTAGTCTTACGCCCAACATTCCCTCTTTGATGAACTCATTACCAGCTAAGTGAGATTTAGGGGTGCATCGGCCGGGGATCAAATGCTGAACCACTTGGGTGGCTAGCGAATATTCTACCTCTGTGTTACCAACGCGCAGAAGATGGCATAGATTACAAAATTTCTGAATATCTGTGATGTTAAAGAGGAGTTTAACTCAACAGCTTATTGCAAACTTATACTTAAGCGACTGTGTTTCTAGATTATATAAGACTACCTAACCAGGTTTCCTAAATGATAAATTGTTCTCTTACTGATATGTAATTTTATATGTTTTGTTATCGGTATAATCGTTAATACAACTTGTTAGTTTGCTCTGACGAACTTCCCACCTAGTCAATTTGTCAGCCCAGTGTTCTAATTACTATTAGTAACAGCAGTGACGTAATCCACAACGGGAAACTCACGGATCCCTTCGAAGTGAAGACGGGAGTAAGACAAGTTGGCTGTCTATTATCTCCAATGATTTTCCTGATTCCGGTAGACTGCATAATGCGACAGACACCGGCGGGCAGGGAGGAAACTGGCATAAAATGGACTCAGAAAAAAAACTGGAAGGATCTGGACTTCGCCGATGACATATATGTGTGTCTGATTTCCAACAAACTGGAAGATATGCAAGTGAAAAGCAACAAGTTGGCAGAAGAAGCAAAGATAGGAAGTACTTCCGGTGGACATAGAGAAAACAGAGGTGATGAGGATTCTCGGCCAACAGCGACAGCAACAATCAGCATAAATGGGAGAAATATGAAAGACGCAACCTCCTTTACCAGCTACAGGTGGAACTGACGCGGATATCAAAGCGCAGATCGCGAAAGCAATGCAAGCTTTCGTTACTCTCAAGTATGTGTGGAGATCAGAAGCACTCAGCATGAAAATGAAAATAAGATCCGTATTTCTAACTACAGTGTGAAGTCAGTGCTCTTATACTGATCAGAGACTTGGCGGGCGTCGTGAAGGACACTCCGAAAAAGCTACAAAACTTCATCAGCAGCTATCTTCGCCCAATATTTAGCTCTAGATCAGATGGGCAGAACAGATTGGCAATAGAGAAGGATCTCTGGGGAGAACCAACCCATCAGGAACCAAATTTGCAACAAATATGCAGGAAGAAATGGAGGTGTATTGGCCATACTCTGAGAAAACAAACCATCAAGTGAAATCACACGCCAGGCCATCGCTCGAGTGGAACCCGAAAGGGAAGCGGCGAGTTAGTTGGGAATCAGTGCGAGGGTGACATGTAGGAGGTCATGCGATGAGTAGATGAAAGCATGTGGGCAGACCTGGAGCTAGGTGAAAACGCTGGCGGAGAACCGAACACAATGAAGACGTGCGTCTGAAGCCCTATGTCCCTCTAGGAACTAAAGGAAACAATAATAATAACGACAGTGGCACGATACGATTCCACAGAACTCATGATGTAAGAAGACAAAAAGACAGACCGTTGACGTAGAGGGCGTTTACTATCTCGAATCAACAACAAAAGGGTTGGTAACAATTACGTATATATATGTATGTAAATATGCTTTAAATGACGTTGGGAGTCAATAAAACACTGATAAGCTAAAACAGGCAACAAACAATAGACTCCTAAGGTCATAGGTGGGGGCGCGTGGAGAATACAGACAGCACTGTACTGTGAAGATGAATGTAGTATTTTAGAAGAGTTAGGTCTATATAGCAGTTACCAATAATTGACTTTTATAAGCATTTTCATAACGTTTCAGGACCCCATATATCTGTAAAGCTTAGAAGAGAAGTTATGAATAGAATATTCTTTTATGACCTATGTCATTAAAATGTAGAGTTAAAAGTCTTGCCAACAGATAATAATGGTAAAAATGACTTCCAGGTTTTTGGCAACTCCTGAGAGGATGATCTGAAATTGTTGTAAGAAGTCGTGGCTAATGGGGTTTACCATGTTAAGGTGAGGTGAACGCTCATTAGTAGCACAAATCAACAAAAGTAAGGGTTCATAAGTCACTGAATTCTAGCCCAAGTGTCTGAACAGTCAACGGGCTTCTCTTTATTACTTAGAGAACCTGGGTTCAATCCTTGGTGAGGTCGTCAGTGTGTACCAATGAAGAGTCACAAACTAGTACGAAGCAGTATTATCCACTACTCCCTGGTTTCCAATAGTTTCTCTAAAAGAAGTCACTTCGTAGTCAATCTTCAAATCAAATGATTTTGATAAAACTATACAATGTCTATCAAAGCGTATAGTTAAAAATACAGATATACTTACATGACATAAACAAAAGTGTCTTCCTTGAATGATATTACATCTTCTTGTTCCAACTTTATCACAATATTTTTCACATATACCTTCAGTTTTACAATGACCTAGATACAATGAGAAACTATTAAGTTATGATATACTTTTAAATAATACATTTATCTTTTGTTTAGTTAGAGATAAACGTTTTAAAAAAATATTTATTAATTCATTTGGTCACATTTATAACTTCCTGTTGATGATATGAGACGGCTAAAAACAGCTTAAACCAGTCTGAACAAATTTAAACCATCGGGCCAAGGCAGAATATTTAGTGTAATACGATTGGACAGTTTTCAAGTTCGAACTTATACAGTCAGTATAATTGGCAGTTTATTGGCTTAACTTTCTGAGGTAAGTCATATGTGTGCATAATGTATTTTTATACAATGAATTGAATTTTTCTTACTGGCATGGATCAGTCATTTTTTTGTGATCCCTAGAGCCCACAAAAATAAAGGCAGAAGTAACCAGTGATTTGTATTGGTATGGAATCCCCAAATCAGTTGTATTATTTTTATTTTGATTACAGCTTGAAACCATATAGTATTTTTGATGCAGGTAAGGAATTTGCAGCATGTGATATCGGTAGCCCAAGTTTAGCACGCCGACCATTGATATCAGGTGTGCGCCGGCAGGGGGATCGAACCCCGGACCATGTGCATGGTCGGCGAGAGTCTTAACCGCTGCGCTACCGAAGAACAAATGCTCCGCCCGAAGACAGAGCTGAAAAGAATGAGGCAAGACTCATTGTATTGTGTCTTCCGACCGAAGCCTTTAGTAAAAGGCGAAAGATTTATCCGCAAATGAGGAGACACCAGAGTTATTACATCACCACCAGCAGAAATAACAGTTGGTGTCTGGAAGTAAAACCTAAGAAACGATTTTCGTCTTACATGGGACTTTTCAGACGGGCATTCCTATTTCCCAATAAGCGATGCTGCTCTTATTGAGACTTAGATCCAGCACTTATCGCTTCAAACACTCAAGGCTTTATCTACAGGGCCATGAGAGCCACAAACATCCTGAATTCTTGTGCTATCGGTCACCATGGGTAACAAGTATGGTTTGAAATTAGGCACTTGGTATTTTTAATTTCTTATTGAAATATCTTAGTTTAAACCAACCATAAATGTGTTTCAGGGTTCGATCCCCGGCCATCGACGCACTCCTTTACCTCACTAAGCCAGTAACAAGACTGGTAAAGAGGGAAGGTTGTTTAGGCGTGCGGCTAGCAACCACATCCTGTAAAAATAAACACCACTGCTACTGAAACTTCAAGCCTGTAGCTTGAAGCCCTATGTCCCATTGGGAACTTAAAGGAATAAAAAACATACATTTAATATCAACAAAAAATCAATAAAGGATATTAACACTTAGTTGAACAAGATGAACAGAGAGAGGATAAATCGCTACAAAATAATGTAAATGTAAGGAATGCATTTATAAAATACCCTAAGAACGACGCCAATTGTAGCGACATACTCCATCGCAATATTCACATAATGACATACATTATATATTTTATTTAGATATTTGACATTATATTATGAACTTGGTGAGATTTTTATGACGTATTTATTCGAACAGTTTCATAGTTCTCGCTAGTCTTTGACATTAAATGTTGCTTCATAGTCATTTCTAGACTTCAGACTTATTGCGTCAGGAATGTTTTGTCTTTATTTGTGTCCAAATGGCACTAATTCAATTTGCTACGTCCGCCTTTATGGTTGTGACACACTGTCATAGAAAGTGGAAGATATGGAAAGGTTAAATGTCTTTGATCACAGGTGTCTGTGTCCAGTCCCACGTGTTAAGCGAGGATGAGATGGCTAGGTTACGTGCTGCGCATGCCTAACCATGGCCTCCCACGATGGGCATTACTAGCTGATATAGGTGCAGGTTGGAAAAGAGTAAGTGGTGGCCAAACAAAAACATGGCATCAATCCATGAAATCCCTGACAGTTAAACTGTGTCAGGTAGGGAGATGCAGACTTCCGGGTTGAGGCCCTCTGGACTCTAAGAATCAATGGCTGGAGACAATAGGTGACATGGCTCAAAATCGTTGTCAATGGCTTACGCAGATGTATTCAGTCTGTGTAATCTTTCATATTCCTTTCTACCATTACTCATTCTGTTTCACTCTTATACTTGTCAAAACTCTATTGATTCTCTTCACTTATTTTCTTGTCTACCTTTGTGTGCTCTTTGGAACATGGCAACTCGAACTGCTGCCCTTCGGTGCTAAGTTCTATGTTGAATCCAGCCAGCCAGCCAGTTAAGCGAGGATCAGAAGGGGATGTCAGTCGATGAGTTTGTGAAGGTGAATCGATTGGAATGACTAGGACACGTGGTGCGTATGCCAAGCTGTCGGCTTCCTCGATGGTCAATGTTAGGTAACATAGGAGCATGCTGGAAGAGAGTTATGGGTAGTCAAACCAAAATTTGGGATTAGTTTATGAAATCTTTGAGACCAGTAGAGAGGTGTAAGCAGTCTGGGTGGGGTTGTCAGGATTCCAAGGACCAATAGCTGGAGACATATGGAGTGATATGGCTCAAAATTGTTGTCATTAGCGCAGATGCATTCACTCCCTGTGATCTCCTATTCATCCTTCTATAATTTCTTGTTTATTATAGTCCTTCTGAATGACTTCTTCCCTCTCTTGTGTCTATCTTTGTGTGCTGTATGGATTGTGAAAGCTTTAGCTGCTGCACTTCTGTACAAAATTCTATGTTTAAACTTGGTCAGTCTGTGAATCTTGGAAGGAATATATTTTGAACGTCCTATATCATCACTCCCAGTTTTGCTTTACGGATCAGAAACTTGGCGGCTCACCAAGAATATTTTCAACAGGTTGCAGACCTTTATCAACAACTGTCTTCGCTCCATACTGAAGATTAGATGGCCAGAAAGAATCACAAACAAGAAGCTATGGGAACAAACGAAACAGGAACCAATCGCCCAACAAATATGCAGGAGGAAGTGGAGATGGATTGGACACTCGCTGAGGAGGCCGTTGAGTGACATCGCGCGTCAAGCCCTCGAGTGGAACCCGAAAGGGAAGCGGCGAGTGGGACGTCCAAGGGTGACATGGAGGAGATCGTGTGAGGAGGAGATGAAACAGTATGGAATAACATGGACGCAAGTGAAAAGAACAGCAGAAGACAGAAGCAAGTGGAGGCGTGCAGTTGAAGCACTATGTTCCACTAGGAACCCAAGGGAACAATAATAATAATATCATCACTCCCCTAGTGAATATTTTCAATACTGAATATATGAATGTGATCATTAAAAATGATTGACATTATGTCCAGAACTATTCACTGTGGAATTTTATGTCTGCGCATTAATCTAATCAACATAATTGTTTAATTATTATATCTTAATATATTAACTACAATGTGTGCAAGATTTGAAAATATAAATTTACCGCCTATAATGTTTATCATTGAACATTTAATGTCTGAATCATTTTTTTGAATTCCAGATAACGAAAACAAAAAGGTATCACTAAAATCTTTATTGTACAACAAATTGAAATGTTCTTTAATTAAATTAATTGAATATCGTTGTCATTCTGTCATAGAATACAAAATGCTGCTGTTGCGATTAAAACAATTTTCGCAGAAAAATAATCTAATGGTCTAGATTCCTTCATACTATTTTTGTTGTTTATTAGACATAATTCCCGTTGAGATATAAAACAAAAAGATTTCAGGGAAGAAAATTCTGTTCCCATACTGGTTTCATTTTCGTACCTGTACAATCGTAGCTAGATATGTGCGAAGTTCTATTCTAGAACACCTGATCGACTCTTGTCACTCTACCAACCCTGACCATGATTTTAAGATCATCCATCATCTACTGAATCCATGCTAACTTGCTGGCAGCGTTTTCTTCGTTATAGACTTCTAAAGACAGCGGAGGCCTTGACCATTCATGAATTTAAGCCAACCAGACCTTTGTGTACAAAAGAAGTAGGTACAATCCCTACTTCTGCCTTGGTCGTAGAGGGATAGACACTTATTTATTTTGTTTATTTAGTTAATCTATGTACCTTTCCCTCATTACTACGATTATTATTGTTATTACTTTTCGCACTTTGAATTGTTTCAACTTGTCCCACTATTCATTCTATATTTTATTCCTTTACGTTCCCAGTGCAACATAGGGCTTCAAGCTAGAGGCTTGAAGTTTCGGTAGCAGTGGTGTTGATTTTTACAGGATGTGGTTGCTAGCTTCATGCTCAACCAACCTTCCCTCTTTACCAGTCTTATTACTGGCTTAGTGAGGTAAAGGAGTGCGTCGGTGGCCGGTGATCGAACCTCGGAACACATGCGTCCTACCGCTGTGCTACCGACGCTTGTCATTCTATACACCTTATGAATTATTGCTTATATGACACTAATTGTTTCGCTACTTGACATTTAACCATGATTATAATCACAAATATTTTAGTTGCATTTCATACTACTACTATTATTATTTCATGTATTCACACCTTTGATCCAATTCCCTCACTGGATATAATTTCTTAAAAACCATATATATACCACTGTACAGTTTGATAATAAATTCGCCGAAAAGAGTCCCTTTGCTGAATATGGTACTTTTAATCCTACAATGGGAATTATTAAATTACATATAGACTACGACAAACAATAACAACTAGTTTTGTTGTGTATTTGTGTGTGCATTGAAATCTGACATTGAGTGGGAATCCTAAATTGCGATAATGTTTGTGTAAATGATCAAAAGTCACAAATGGATTAGATATGGATATAGGTCGAACTCAGGGGAACTTCGTTATTTTATCACTACACTTGATATCTGTCAGCCCTTACCTGAACTCACATTCAGGGTTCCTCATATTTTTGGTGTTTGTTTATATGTATTTTGTGGTAATCATTTTCCTCGCACACCATTGAATATAACTCATCCCCTCCCACCCACCCCAATGAAACTTATATTCTGTTGACGGTGAATACATTGGTATGTCAACCTTTTGTCTATTCACAATTTATCTTATGTTCTGAATGATTGCACATTTTTTATATACGTTCATTT